ATAATAAATGAAAACTTGACCCAAGTGTGCTTAAACTCTCGGCTTAAACTGCTTCCGATATAAATGATTTCTTTGACGGCTGTGAAGTTAAATTCGTGACCCGTTTCGCAATTGCGACCGACCACTTCTGCTAGTTTGTCACTCTGTTGCGGATCCAGGTTATTTTGGTGTATGGGCGATCTAAGCATGCGTCCGGCCCTACTTGTGTGCAATACACTAAGCCAGACTGCTCCTTGGGTTTGATCGGTCCTGAGTCTTCATGACTCTGCTGCGCATGACAGTTTTTTGGCCTGTGTGCAGTTTTAAGGCTCCAAGTTTCACAGAGGTGCGCCCTGCTTACTAAGCCACTTTATTGAAAAAGAAGGCTTTCGTCCTCGAGCTCCCTATTCCTATCCAAAAATCGCAATTTTAACAACAGTACATATGACAAATGCAGTGTTAACATCAGTGATATGTGCGAGCCAGTCGCAAATTGCCGCTACTGACACAATGTTCATTATATGTACCACAGTTTCTAAGCAAATGAGAATACCGTTTGCATTTAAATGGCTGGACATTTTTTGAAAAGATCACCTCATCAGGCAGTCCGTTCCACGCTCTAATGACCCTCCACGAGAAGGCGTTCTGTCGAACGTCCATGTGGATCAGCTTCCTTGGCAGTTTAAAGGCCTGACCACACAGATGGTCCGTTCAAGCCAATTCGAAGAAGTCATCAAATTCTAGGGCACACTGATGGCCTCTGACAATTCGGTAGGTTTGAATGAGGTCGCCATGTAGTTGCTGGTCATTGAGAGGGAATAAATATAGTTCAGCCAGTCTGGTTTAGTAAGGCAGATGACCAAGATTATTGATCATCTTCGTAGCCATCGCTTGCACTCGTTCCAAGTGCAAATAATCCTTCTTAAACCATGGACGCCAGGCCTGGACGGCATACTAGAAACAAGAAAATGTTTACATTTCCGGCAATAAGAAATGATGTTGCGATAGTCGCCTCTTGTCAAGTGCAATGCCATAAAGTCTTTTAAAATCAGCACTGGTGTCGGCGGAAACCGTCTTAATTGGTATCGAGTTTCACGGTCGTACCACTCGTTGGCGGAAGAAAAACACTCTGAGGTAGAATAGAGTGTGTCCTTTTGTGACCTCATAAGAGTGGTCAGGCAGGTGAGTCGTGTTGATTAATTCGATATAACTGAAAATATCGAGTCATTTTACTCTGCGTTATTATCCTTTGTCCTGAAATTTAGTACTTATCATTTCTAAAGGGAAAAATATGTTTCCGGGATCACATTCTTATGTTTCTTATTATAAACATCTTAAAAAATTAAATTATCGAAGCAATACAAACAAGTAGCTTCTGAAGAGTTTCGACTATAATGTTATTCTTTATTAAGTTAAACTCAAGGAGGCCATTTAGGAACAATAGACCAGTAATCTGCAGCCGAGCCAGGTGAGTTCCGGCCTCTTGGTCCGCTTCCTATTCGCTGTTCGATTTTTGAAGGTCTGCTGGGCCGCGTGTCCGACTCAGAACGGGGAGCTAGCACGAGGGTGCACTATCACTGTTGTTTTCCCGTTAGGATCAAATTAGTTGAATGTT